GGTGCTTGGGGACCATATGGGATGCTGAGGATCGAATCCAGGTTAGCTGAATGCAAGGCAAACACCCTATCTGCTGTACTATCACTCTGGACCCTCAATGTATTTCTAGAAACGCTGTGAATTAAAAAGAAAGAACATGTAAATTACTAGTAAAGGTAAAGGTAAAGGCCCTCCCGTTGATCGTCGATTTGCTCGAGCGGGCCCAGTAACGTCTCCATTGGAGACTTTGTTGTTACTGTGTCTGGCATATCGAATACTCTCGGTAGCTTGCCAGGCTCTCCGAGAGGGGCGGAGGAATCGAACTCGGGTCGGCCATGTTGGCCGCTTGTAAGGCGAACACCCTACCGCTGTGCTATTGCTCCGGCCCTAGTTACTAGTATCTACTAGTAATTACTAGTATCCTACATAAAATGGTCTTCAGAAGCTTAAAAAACTTTAAAACTTAAAAAAGTAGTTTTGCGAATAAATGTTGTAACTCAGATAAAATGGACAACTAGAATCACAGGGAGCAAATACTTAAATAACAGGGAATATGAACAGACTCATCGAGAGTTTGAAGTCATCCCACACTGGTGAAGAGATGGGTATTGGAGCATCCTCTGACTGAAACCCAATCAGAAACAACTTTGTAACTGTGTATCTCCTGGTGATTAAATAAAAAGAAAAATTTTTAAAAAGCGTTTGAATTCATTATTAAAAACTTCCCCCAAAGTCAGTCCAGATGGCTTCTCTATTGAATTCTGCCATTTATTTAAGAAAAATACAAGGATTGTTTGAACTCTTTTAGAAAATAGAAAGGGTAGAAATGTTTTCTGGCATATTTTATGAGACCAACACTGCCCTACCAACGCTGGCAACAAAGGAAAAATGGTCCTGGGGCTGGAAAGATGTCCAACTGACTGAGCACAGACTGTGTGTGAGGAAGGTCCGGGTTTTCCCCCACAGCACCACATAGTCCCTTGAGCATCACTCAGAGCAACTCCTGAGCAGAAAACCAGGAGTAACCCCTGAGCATCACCAGGTGTGGCTCAAAACAGCCAAAAAAGACCAGTGTTTCCCAGGAACATTACAATCTTTAAACAATGATCAAATTGAATCTTACAATATTTTTTTTAAAGATGACTCACTAAAAAGTGAGATTTCTGCTGGAAAATTTGGTTATGCGGGTTTAGTGACTGAAATCGCCAGGATCTCATGGAGTCAGAAATGGGCGCCCTCCCCCCATCTTCATGTGCTTCCAGGAGCCTGGCAGTCACACCAATAAACTGCCTTTGGCACCATATAAGCTCATTAATGGCCATGATCCAGAGACCCACAAATAAATTTCAGAAGAGATCAACAAGCTGCAGAGATGCCTGTACCCCAAAGTCACCATCCAGTTAAAAGTTTAACTCCAGCTGTATCACCCTATTTAAAATTCTAGAATTCCTAGAGCAACATCTAATATTGATGTACAGAGTAGTGTACCACATTTGATGGGGTGTAAAGTAGAAGGCAGCCCACCTCAATAAAAAAAACCCTAAAAATTAGCATACAAGGCTCAACTGTAACAACATGTTAGTAATCTCTTATACAAAAGCTTAATGGCTCCCAGGTGAGATAAAACAATCTTTACACACTTTCCTCCCAGGGTCCTTTTTTAGATCATTTTTAGTGGATTATTCATAATAAATAATACAAAATAAATTATTTAGGACCTGCTTTGGTGGCAGGTTTGGGTGGTGGTGGTAAAATTAAAATAATGGTGGTGGGAAGGTGTAGTGGTGGTGGGATTGATGTTGTAATATTGAAAGTAATAAATTATTGTCAACATTATTTTATTTAAAAATAAAATTTAAAAAGTAAAGACAGTGAGATTTCTCAGGAATGCAAGGTCAGTTTAACCTCTGAAGAACAATCAGTATAGTTCACAATATTATTTGATTATTGGCCACAATGGAATTTTTGTGGTTTATTTTTTAACCGTAAATGGTGGGGGGGGGTGGCAGCTCACATCTGGTGATGCACAGGGATTACTCCTGGTTCATGCATTCAGGAATTACTCCTAGCAGTGCTTGTGGGACCATATGGGATGCTGGGAATTGGACCCAGGTTGGCGTGTGCAAGGCAAATGCCCTACCTGCTGTTGCTATAGCTCCAGTCCCAAGAGAGAGAGTTATTCTTATGAGCATCACATTTCTGCTCAGGAGGAAAATAAAATATCTGGCCCAGAGGAATTGTTCAGGGTCTTGGGGTGCCCACCTTACAAATATGTGGTCATGAGTTCGAACCTCTGGTGTCTTATGTATGCCAAGAGTGAGTGTGGTGATCTGCTGTCTTCATTTCTGGCACACAAGTGTTTTCGAGTTGTACCACAGCTAGGAGTGTGTGTGTGTGTGTGTGTGTGTGTGTGTGTGTGTGTGAGAGAGAGAGAGAGAGAGAGCAAGCAAGAGAGAACGAGAGAGAGAGAGAGAGAGAGAGAGAGAGAGAGAGAGAGAGAGCTCAAAGAGGAATGCAACCCAGAGAACAGGCTAAAAGGGTATATAGGGGGAAGTGTGATAGTACAGCAAGTAGCGAACTTACCTTGCATGCAGCTGACCTGGGTTTATCTCTGGCACCATATACAGTCCCCGACGTTCTAGCCGGAGTGATCCTTGAGTGCAGAGCCACGATGTGGCCTAAGACAAAAACAAAAAGGTGTGTGATCACCATGGTCAGGAAGTGTCGCCTCTGAGGAGAATACAGAGAGCCCCACAGCCACATAACCTGTGCACCTCCACAGTGTGAGGGGATGGGTGTGAGGGGATGGAGCGATAGTACCATGAGAAAGGCATTTGCCTTGCATGCGGCTGACCCAAGTTCAATCCCCCATACCCCATATGGTCCCCAAGCCCTGCCAGGAGTAATTCCTGAGTGCAGAGCCAAAAGTAAGCCCTGAGTACCCCTGGATGTAGTCTACAAACTACCCGTCCCCCCCCAAAAAAAAATAAGGCTGTGAGCCTGGAGCTAGAGAGGTGGTTCAGTGGTTAGTATCCTTTGCAGGAGGGAGATCTGGGTTTGATCCCTAGCACCAAAAGGTTCCCCAGGCACAGAGCTGGGAACCACCCTCCTGACTAAGAATAGGAACACAGCAAGCATGAGTGCAAGCATCACAGCTAACAGCATGCAAAACTCAGCACTGTGGTTAAGAGTGCAAGCACCACAGCCTCATGGAAGCCCGACAGCTGGGTGTGTGCAGTTCCTCGGGCTGGCCTTTGCAAGGAAAGACAGAGGGGAGAAAGGAGGAGGAGAATATCCTTAAAGGAGAAAAAATGCCCAGTCAAAGACTGGGAGAAAATGTTCCAAATCGCATCTGACAAAGACTCACAACCACCATGTCTGAATAGCAGCTACGAGCAAATGATCGCAGTAATCCACAATGGACCTTCTTAAAAACGGGCCCCGAGCTTGAACAGTCACATTTCACTAAGGATCTATCAGTCACCAGTAACTCACCAAAGTTATTTATTTATCCTGTTAGGGAAAAAAAATGAAATGAAAGCACTGTGAGGTACTGTTTTGTTCCCACTAGAACGACCCAGATTAAAGAGGCAGGCAATTAAATGTTGCTGAGACTCAGAGCTGCTAGAATTCTCAAAGGAAGTTTGCAAAATCGCTGCTGTGGGAACGTTTAAACTGTTTTCTGTCAACATCCATCTACCCTATGCCCCGCCGAACTCCTCTTTCCCTCAGAAACTGTCTCCTCCCCTCGGCTCTCCTCTGTGCCTCTCTCTCCCTTTCCCTTCCCTTCTCACCATACCTCTTCACAGAAGTACTTAGAAGTGTCCATCTAGCAGCTTCCTCCTGCCTGCGCCTTCCCTGTGTACAATAAGGCGCTGTCACTCAGTCAGCATAGCATTCGAGGCACAAAGCTCCTGGGGTTGCACCTTCCCCCATTCCGTCTGCTCCCTACCCCCACCTCTGGCAACCACCAAACTGACGGGGTTTCCATATTTATCTTGGTTCCATGTGCTTCCCTACCCCCCGCCTCTGGCAACCACCAGCCCGCTGGTTTCCTGTCTCTGTGGGTTTGGCAGCTAAGTGTTTGATGTACCCAGGTTTGATGTCTCCTTTCCTCACACTCCTCAGCACCGTTCCCGTCAGGTCTGTCAACAGACACCAACGCCTCCATCTGGGGAACCACCGAAACGTGCTGTCCCCTGGGGAATGACATTCTTCCTCCAGCCCCTCAGGGGGGCAAATCTCGCCTCATGGCCATGGGTCCAGAGACCCATCTCCCCACACCACCACATGGGGGTGTTGAGGCTTGGACATGTGAATTGGGATGCTGAGGGGGGGGAGGTTAGTGTGTGGGAGTTTAGTTTAGTTCCCTCCACTGCAGTCAGATAAAGTGAGCCCATGAGTGTCTGTGTGAGGGGAGCGTTTTTTTTTTTCTGTCAGTGCCCTTCTGAGGTAGAATTGAAGCTCAGGGTCCAATTCCAGAAAAGTCAGGTAAAAGCAAAGAAAAAGGAAAAAAAAAATCTTGCTCTTGCATGCCCTCGATGCCCTGGGTCCCGGTGAGTGAACAGACTGACGGGGGTTTCCACATTTATCTCGGTTCCTTGTGCTTCCAGTCCTGTGTCTGTCACCTGGGGGGGGGGGGGAGGGTCTTTGTTCACTGCGCCCCAAGGGAGCCCCGTGTCGCTCTAGTTCCTTTGCAGGGTTCTCTCCTGTGTCATTTCCCTCCCCGCCGCCCTGAGGTGTCACGTTGTTTCTGGAGTCCCGATCCCTGACTGACTGGCGAGACCATTGGGCAAAGGGACCCGAGGAGCGTCTGCCGGCGGCGTCGGCCTCCCACCCCGTCTGGTCTGTTCCCAGTTCCCAGCCGGGAGAACGCCGGAAGTGAATTCCAGGTCACGGGGTCGGAGTCTTATCCCCCTGAAAACGCTGGTGCGCCACGTGGTGCTGCCCGCGCTGACCCGTTCGCCCCCGTCCCGCTAATGTGTGCGCCCCCCGCCTTGTCTCCGCAGCCCGGCAGGATTCCCCCGGTCCCCCGGGCCCAGACCCCGAGCAGAGCCGTCGGAACCGGGCCCGGCCCGCCGCGCCCAGCCATGAACTTCCTGCGGCGCCGCCTGTCCGACAGCAGCTTCGTGGCCAACCTGCCCAACGGCTACATGGGCGACCTGCAGCGGCCCGACAGCTCCACCAGCTCCCCCGCCTCCCCGGCCATGGAGCGCCGGCGCCCGCAGCCCCTGGCCGCCTCCTTCTCCTCGCCGGGCTCCAGCCTCTTCAGCTCCTTCTCCAGCGCCATGAAGCCCACCTCGCCCGCCCCCGCGGGGCTCGTGGAGCCCCCCGGCCCCGCCGCGCCCGTGGTGGTGCACAGACCCCGCGTCCTGCTGGTCATCGACGACGCCCACACGGACTGGTGAGCGGGGGACCGGAGGGTGGACCCAGTGGGGGCGCAAAGTGTGTGTGTGGGGGGGGGGGGTGGGGAGCTAGGGTCAGCATGCACATGGTTGGTGGGAGGGAGAGACAGAGACAGAGTCAGAGTCAGTCAGAGAGGGAGAGAGAGAGACAGAGACAGACAGACAGACAGAGACAGAGAGAGAGGGAGGGAGAGAGAACTTGAGAGAGACAGAGAGACGGAGAGAGACCTTGAAAGAGAGACAGAGAGAGAGGGAGAGAGAGGATCTTGAGAGAGACAGAGAAACAGACATAGAGACAGAGAAAGAGGAAAAGAGAGAGAATAGACCTTGAGAGAGAAGGAACCTTCATAGAGAGAGACAGAGAGAGAGAGAGAGAGAGAGAGAGACAGAGAGACAGACAGGGAGAGAGGGAGAGAGAGGATCTTGAGAGAGACAGAGAAACAGACATAGAGACAGAGAAAGAGGAAAAGAGAGAGAATAAACCTTGAGAGAGAAGGAACCTTCATAGAGAGAGACAGAGAGAGAGAGAGAGAGACAGAGAGACAGACAGGGAGAGAGGGAGAGAGAGGATCTTGAGAGAGACAGAGAAACAGACATAGAGACAGAGAAAGAGGAAAAGAGAGAGAATAGACCTTGAGAGAGAAGGAACCTTCATAGAGAGAGACAGAGAGAGACAGAGACAGAAGAGACAGAAGGAGAGAGAAAGGAACTTGAGAGAAAGAGAGAGAGAGAGAGAGAGAGAGAGAGAGAAAGAAAGAAAGAAAGGAAGGACCCTGAGGGGCCTGGAGCAGGTGTGAAACTGGCCACAGGGAAGGAGATGGGCTTCCCATGTGCTGGGGCCCTGGTACTTCGGCTGTGCCCCACTCTGTTTCCCGAAGTGCCTCCCGGCAAACCCCAAATCCCAGAGCACTGAAAACTAGAAAATGTCCACCGATAGCAAGTCCTGGTCTAAGCAAGGTGGACCACTCAGCCGCGCGTGGACAGGTCCCGCCCGCATGGTGCTGTTCAGAGGGAAGGGGTGAGCTGTCCACCCCCAATTGCTGGCAGCGTGTGGATGGAGGTGATGGTGCAGCTGGAGGCACGGCATTCACAAGGATGGAGTCAGGGTTCTGCATGGGTCCCCGTCCCAGTGGTGTCCATTGGGCACGCGCACATCTGGAGGGTTGCGTTGTTATAGCGAGTGTGAAGTGGAGAACAACCTCGCCAAGCCCTGTTGGTCGGACTGAGTCACACAGGAGGATGCACACTGACCATGCACAGCATCTTAATCCGGTGTCAGGTGGGATATTTCCATTATGTGGGTTCTGTCTGTCAAAGTGAAATCCCCCTCAGGACTCATGGCAACTGTCTTCTCCAGGGCTTGCCTGGCCTCTGTGCCTGCTGTACTGTGTCTCCACCCCCAAGAAGGTGATTGTTGCTTCCACACCCAGCTGTGCTCAGAGCTAACTCCTGGCCCTGTGCTCAGGGATCGCTCCCGGAGGGCTTGGGGGTCTAATCCAGCTGACAGCACACATAGCAGCCATCCTCTGTGCTGTGCTATCTCTCCAGCCCTTTGCTGTAGTAACACAGGTTACTGTGACTTTCTGTGTAGCTCTAGTTGTATGGGCAGTGGCTCCTGGCAGGCTTAAACTGCATCATCACTTCATGCCCAGTACCAGGACAGTGGACTGGGAGTTTCTCGTGTGCTGTCAGGGTTTCTAGTGGCCACTCTGCCCTGTGAACTCCTGGGGATAAACCTGGGACTTAATCTGCTCTGTTGCGGTACCACACCTCACTCACATGTGGTATGTGGTCTGCATGGGGGCACAAGGTATGAAACTGGACGGGGCAATGAAGTCTTATTTCTATGTTGATGTTGGCCTTCAAGTCCTCCAGTCTTAGGGGTGACCCAGTTCGTGCATTAATTCCAACTGATGGAGAACACAGTCTGGGTCTGAAGAATTGCCTACTACCCACCTCTATCAGTTATGCCTTTTTTATATATATACATAATGATACATTTGGGCTGGAGCGATATAGCACAGCGGTAGGGTGTTTGCCTTGTGCGCAGCCGGCTGGCCAAGCCGGGTTTGATTCCTCTGCCCCTCTCGGAAAGCCCGGCAAGCTACTGAGAGTATCTTGCCTGCACAGCAAAGCCTGGCAAGCTACCCATGACGCATTCAATATGCCAAACACAGTAACAACAAGTCTCACGAAGGAATCGTTACTGGCCCACTAGAGCAAATCGATGAACAACGGGAGGACAGTGACAGTGACAATGATGCAGTTAAAAAATTTGCATGGGCTATATCTTTTTGTTCCTGTATCCCAGTATTTACAGTGCCTGCCATGAGCCAAATTCCCAATACTTGGTGCATGACACAAAAATAGCTGAGACCAGCAAGTTTTTTCGGGGTAGGATGGCAGCATTCCTGTACTTGCTGGGGTCACCATGAAATCCACGGTCTTCAGCTTTGCATTTTCAGCAACATAGCTTCCCCAAGTTATCCTCAGGTGAGTAGGGACACCCTTGGCAGCTGGCTTGGTGACACCTCGATTAGGTCGTGAGAACAGCGATCTTCCTCTTCCCCTTCTGGTGAGCCAAAGAAAGAAGAATGCAGACATGGAGATGCTTGGACTCTCCTCGAAACTGGGTCCATATCCAGGAAATGTTCCGGACAGATTCTTCCCACCTGCAGACACATTCACCTCTCAGCCTGCGTGCGAGTCTGCAAACTTCCAGACCTCTGAAAACCTCAGCATAGCCCCTCCACCCTGCGCTGCCGGGAGTGGCCAGCAGGTGGCGCACCAGCCCCGTTCTCCTGGGATGGTTTTGGCAGGAGGGGATGGGGGGGTGGGGGGCTGCCTGGGTCAGGCCCTGGCCAGCCCCTCCATCATTGTGCGAACTGTCTCCCCAGAGGAAGAACCAGCTCCCACAGCCCCTTTCTTTCCCCTTTGAGATGATAATGAGCGGATTGATGATGCAGGGCTGTCTGGGCTGGGAGTGAGCCTCGGGGAATAATGTGGAATAATGTGTCTCCCCTTTCGCCCTGCCTTCTGGCTCCTGCCGTCTGTCCTGTGAAGAATCTGGTTTCCAGAGTCAGGGTGGGGGTTTGTTCCCTCACTATCACCCCCCTCCCCCCCCCCACACACACACACATACGCACACATTCCCCTCTTCCCCTCCTAGTGGAGGCCAGTTTGAGATGCTGAGCTCTTCCTGGGGGAACCAAGAGTTCTCAGACCCACCCTTTTGGGGAGTTAGTTGGCCCTAGACCAGACTTGCTAGTCCAGGGGGCTCTTTGCTGGCTCAGTACGTTCCCCCTAAGCTTGATCCCGCCATCTGGGAGGAGGACAGATGGGCCACTGGCGAGAACGACGGGGGAAAGGAGTGCCAGACTGGCTTTATACTGCCAAGCCACTGCTGGGCTTCTTCGCTGGCCTCGGGCCTCTGGTCGTGACCTTGCCTCATCTCTCTGAAGCAGGAATCTGAGCTCTGTGCCCACTCCCCAACATGCATCCCTGGCTGACCCATCTCTGCCCTCAAGTTTGAAATCAGAGGGCGGAGGGGGGGGAAGGGTAGGGCAGGGAGTGGCCCCCAGGGCTGGAGCTCACACGTTGCAGGAGACTGTCCCTGCATCCCATTTCCAGGACTGTGTGGTTTCCCCGAGCACCAATCTGGGAGCAGCCTCCCAGGGCACCCTCGGGTGTAATCCCCAAATCACAAACCAAACCAACAAAAAAGTAGAGTTCAGAGTCCTAAGCACCTCCTCGAGTTGTCTCCACCTCCCTCTCTTGCTTTGCCGTTTACTCCCAGACGGAGCCAAGAGCATGAAATTCTCCAATGCGTATCTTTGCCTTGACACGCGCTGTTCCTGGTTCTCAGAGATGCCCTTTCCTCTCCTGTGCTTCCGGCCAGTTTCCCATCACCCTCAAAAGTCGTGGCATCACTTGTGTTGGAAAGATCTCGGGCAGCTGTCTCTGCAATCAAGGGGCCTGCATCTTAGTCCCCTGAGGTCGCCTCCTCCCAGCCCCAGCAGGATCCTTTTGAAGGGTCTGTTGGCACCCGAAGCACCCCTTTGCTCCAGGAGTCAGGTGTTCCCTAATTTAGACGGTTCCATCCTAGGAGTGTGACAGTCCCTCGAGACTGGGATCGTGGTCCATGGCGAGTCCCACTTGGGATTTTGTGTTTGGGTCCTTTCCCAGGCCCTGGGGATCTAGTCGGATACTTCTTCATAGCTGCACAGTGTCCAGTGTCCGTTGGCCAATGTGTCTGCCCTTCCCGCCCTGTTGCCCCTCCTGGTCCAGCGGGTAGGAGCTGGCAGGAGTGAGTCAGGCTTTGGCTAAGGGACTTGTCCCCAGCATAAGCTGACAGAGGTGTTCTGAGTGTTGGTAGGGACACCTAAGGACCATGTGCCAGGTTCAATGCTCAGCTGAGGGTATTTTCTCCATGTGATGGGCATGTTGTAAGTCAGGGAAATACTCTTGAGTCATAACATGGCACATGTGTGTGTGTGTGTGTGTGTGTGTGTGGTGTGAGTCTGTGTGATGTTCTGACTTTATTTTGGGCTCTTCTATAAAACTGTCATATGATCTTTTTTTAAACAATAGGCCAGCTGGTTTTGTATTGTTTCTACTGTCCCAGATCTTCATTTCAAAACCCCAACCCTGAGCGTGACCAGTCAAGGAGGATTCCTCGGCCGTTCAGGAGTGGGTCCCAACCCTGCCCTGGCCCCTTGCAGCCTCTGGCTCAGGAGCAGGCCAAGAGCACACTCCACCCCAGACACCCCCTCCAGGGCACCTGGCCTCTCGCCTCATCCTCCCCCTGACCTTACTCCTGACTGCCCTTCCGGCACATCTGCTCTTCCCTTCATCAACAAGTACCCACGGTTACCTGCTCTTGTCAGTTTCACCCTTCCCTGTACTTTTCTTCTGCTTGTATTTGTTGGGGAAGAAAGGAAAGGGGTCTTCTTGGTTGCACACCCCCTCCTCAGATGCCACCTTTCTGGCCTGGACTCTC